CTGCACCAGAGACTTCTCACCCACCTTTGTCTCTTCCCTCACCCACGGGGACCACTGTTCTTCTCTCCATTCATCTTAGTGACGTTCACGCTTACTTCTGCGCAGAAACGATCTCTTTAATTCAACACCGCCTTTTATTTTCACTTTCTTCCATCGATCCGTTCCTATGTTCGTGGTGAGTTTTCCCCCTTGGGTAATTGGTGCCTTCCTGGTCCACCCGCTGACTATTTTGTTTTAAAGCATTGTCATTGTGGATGGCGAGCAGGCACGTGCTCACGGGTAGGCGAGTGCGTGGGTGTTTGCGGATCTGAGTGCAGATGTACAGGTGCATGTTGAGTTCAGAGATCGACCTTAGGCCTGCATCTTCACCTTCCTCTTGGTTTAGCATCAGGGGCTCTTGTTTGTCACTAAATATACCAGGCTAACTGGCCCTTGACGTTCCAAAGAGTCTCCGGTCTCTGCCTCCCATCTCACAGTAGGAACAATGAGATTACAGACACACACTTCCAATCTTGGATTTCTGGGGCTGCGGGGACTCAGACTCAAGCCCTCACATTTGCATGGCAAGAACTTTACCCACCAAGTCATGTCCCCAATCTGCTCTATATCTTTAAGTATAAAGCCAGAAACAAAGACACTCTAACATGTTTGCTTCAGATAGACAGTGCTCCTTTATCCTGCCAGGAATCAACCTGTACCTTACTGATTATAGGACTGCCTTTACGTAAAAGAGTTTGAGATTTACACGGCAAAGGAGGGGGTGAAGAAGCTACATGCAGCTCAACATAGTGACCTCCACCTGTAATCTCAGCAGGGGAGAGGCAGAAGCAAGATGATTGTTAAATGTTTGAGGCCAGCCTGGACCATAGAGTTCCGGGCCAACCTGGGCTACAGTGAAAAGCCCTTTCTCAAAAAGCCAATGGAGGAATGAGGAGGAGGAGGAGGAGGAGGAGGAGGAGGAGGAGGAGGAGGAGGAGGAGGAGAGACTGTGTACAAGGGTAGCAATGTTGAAAAGTTGCAGCAATTTCTTTTTGCTGTGGAGTTACAACTTGAGGCTTGAACATAGAAATGCGTAACTTTATGCCAAGGGGGTATTTTGCGTCTAGAGGAGAAAAAAAAAACCTTCAACCTAATTGCAGTTAACAGTTCACACAGCAAATTTCAGCTCTGCGTTTCTATGCTCCCGTTCCTCTCCTCGTGTTATGAGAGAGAACAATCTGGAAGCTGTAGCCTAGACCTAAAATTGTGAAGATGCTGTTAGATAAATACCACTTTGCTCTGCAGCACTTTCAAAATTATATAGACGCTGACAGTTTGGTGGAAGGAACTGTATTTATATCTCAAAAGCATGTAGGCGGCTCTTACAGATATTAGTTACATAAGCCTGGTGATAGCTGTGCACACACACACACACACACACACACACCACCCCGACATACATGCACACACACATATACACATGCGCACACATGCGCACACACGCATATACCCCCAGCCCCCCCCCACTCTCCCACACCATACACACACACACCTGCTTCAAAAGATAGAAACACCCTAACCCTGTGACTAGGCAGGTCAACTCTTCAGCATCAGGTCTTAAGCATGGATTTCAGCCTCAACTTCGAATAGCATGGGAATGCCACTTCTTCCAACTGGGAGCGTCGAGGTGGACATCAGAATCGCATGCCCTGGTGTTGGAGGAGGAGAGAGCAGGGTGAAGGAGCTCACAGTGTGTTCAAAGCAATAAGAAGCTCCATGAATGTCAATATAAGGAAGAGAACAGGATAACACAGTTGGACAGCAGAGAGGCAAGGGGAGTGGAAAGAAGAGAAGTTATTTTAAGTCAGATGTGAGTTGGTGTCGGAAGACATTGCTGGAGGGTCAGAGGTAGCCTAGCACCTGACTTCGTTAGCTCAGCAAAGTGGAACTCACTCTCCCCAGCAAGGCTTCCTGCTCTCTACCTGCGCTTACCTGGAGAGTGTCCCTGGACCTGGAAGACTGACCTTATCTAAAAGCTGTCTCTAAACCAGATGCCTGCTTCAGCTTTATCTTGACCCTTGGCACAGATCCCTGCTGAGAAGACCTGTGCTAGGGACTCTGTTATAGGAGTCTACTGCCACATACTAAGCCTTGTGATAGGAGTGTGCCACTTGATGCAAATTAGGGTTTGTCCCCAGGCCCCCCAATCCTGTATATTCCTTATACTCTGGCATAAAATTGAGCTTATTCACCAAAATATGCCTCTTGGAGGGAGAGTCTGACTTACTACACTAGGTGCTGAGTACATGTTGCTTGAGTGAGCAAATGAAAGAGAGACTCATGCGCTCAACATTCTCTGTGTGAGGCATGGTATGACTCAGGTGTCATGGGAACTGCAAAGCCGCAAGCCACCCACACGGCTGGGTTTTACTTGGTAGACTGCAAGATGAAGATGGAGAAGACCTTGCTCTGAGATCCAAACCTACAGAATAGCAGCTATCCTGCTTGCTTTGCTAAATGGTTGTGAAGGAAAGACAGACTCGGAGCCAGGGGGATGGCTCAGTGGGTAAGGGTGCTTGTGGTATAAGTGTGCTTGTGCTGTCATTCTGATGATCTGGGTCTTAGGCCTGAAGGTGGATTCAGACAGCCAACTCGCAACAGCTGTGTTCTGACCTCCACAGGCATGCCGTGGCACCGCCCCACCGTACATCCTATAATAATAAATGACAATTAAAAAAGAAACTGGGTAGCTTGGGTACCAGAAGGACCTAAATTTGAATTCTAGTTCTACTGTTCGTTTGTTCTCTGTGCTTTGTGTCCTTCATTGGTGAAGTGAGGTTATTAGTTATTTTAATTAAGGCAATCTAATAAGACAACTGTACCATTCTTTTTAGCTTTGGGATCGGCATGTGTTTTCTTTTGTGTGAAATGGAAATAAATAGCAGCTACTTACAAGAGATGTGTGATATCAGATATGTAAAATGCCCAGCTCTATATGAAAATTCTTCATAAATCTTTGTTCTGATAGTACTAGCAGTCTGTTTATATCTTTATGGATGTGATTCATATTTACATTATTTTATACACATGTGCACAGTAGTAATATATTTCACATTATTTGCCTTTAAAAAATACCCCCTGTCCAAAGGACAGGAATCCCAGTCCAAAGAGGTGTATGGAAGCCCCATGGGTTGTGCTTCCTTAGTGATAGCTGATCAGGTAGAGCCTCTGAGAGAGCAAGATTTGGGTTCAGAGGTTCTCTGATCATAAACAGTGGGGATGAGGAGATGGCTTCTTAGTCAAGTGCTTGCCTTGCAGGTCTGAGAACCCGAGGTCAGATCTCCAGAACCCACATAAAAAGCCAGTCAAGGCAGTATGCACCTGCAATCCCAACAAGACAAACAGATCCCGAGAAGCCCACAGGCCAGATAGCCTGCTAAGGAGAAATCCTGTCTCAAACAAAAGGTAGAGATTCCTGAGGGCTGCTACTTGGGTCTTTACTCTGATCCTGATACTCGTGTTATATACACAGGCATCTGTGCTTGAAACTTAAATTACAGGTGCATTTATATGAGTGTGTACATGCACTCACAGAGAGACAGAGGGAGAGGGAAAGGAAGAGAGAGGGAGGGAGGGAGGAGGGAGAGAGAGGTTGAGAGAGAGAGAGGGAGAGAGGGAGGGAGAAGGGAGAGAGGGAGGGAGGAGGGAGAGAGAGGTTGAGACAGAGATAGATAGATAGATAGGCAGGCAGGCAGGCAGGCAGGCAGACAGACAGAGACAGACAGACAGACAGGCACCCTGCAGAAGTGTGCTCTTGGGTTGCCGGGACATGTGGTGTCATAACTCTAAGCTGGGATGGGATCCACTCCCTGACTGCAGTGTCTTCCTTTGGTCCAGTAGGAAACTGTAGCCAAAGGCTGCACAGAGCAGACACGGGTAGGGCAGGATCAGGTCTAAACTTGCCAAGTGTCCTGCCCCCCACCCCCATGTGTTTCAGTGCTCCAGGTTAACACGGTGTCCTGGCTAGTTTTATGTCAACTTGACACAAGCTAGGGTTAATTTGGAAGAGGACAGCTCAGCTGAGAAAGTGTTCTCACTGGATTGGCCTGTGGGAAAGTTCATTGTGTATTTTCTTAATTAGCGATAGACACGGGAGAGCATAGAGCAGGTGGTCCCAGGTGTACAAAACAGTAGGCGAGCAAGCAGGTAAGCAGAGCTACATGGCTGCTGCTCCAGTTCCTGATTCCAGGTTCCCTGACTGTGACGGGCTATGACGTGGGACTGTAAGATGAGACAAACCTTTCCCTGCAAGGTGTTGTCAGTTGTAGTGTCTTAATTTCCAGAGCAATAGGAACCCTAGCCAAGACACATGGCCGTCTTTCCACTGAGGTTGTAGTACCTGATGCTGGTCCTAAGAGGGTTTGCGCTCAGAGTATGACACATTAGCGTGATGAGTTCGCTGAGCTGAGGAGAACCAAGGCCTCCCTGGCCTTCATCACTTTTTCCCTTCTGAGGGGAGGAAATGTCTCTTTCTGTAACTCCTCTGTTCACCTAGAGGCTGGATTCTCCAGAATACAGTCTCATGGGGAACACCCAGCTGTGAGAGGACCGACAAGTCCTGCTAGGAGAGGCCATGGAAGGAAGATGGAATTGGACATTTGCAGCCACAGAACGGATCTAAAGAGACAAGGGGGAAGCCTGCCTGTTAATATGACTAACTGTAACCCAGTCACATAGCTTTTTGCAGCCTGTCCACATTTTATTGAGATAGGCAATTACATGTCCTGTAATGGCAATGAAGCAATAAAATTTATGTCTTGTCATCTTTAACAAGATTAGACATAACCCTGCTCATAAATGTAATCCTGAATGGAGATTTTTAAGAACATAAGTATAGTTAAGGATCCTTGAGTTTATCCCTCATAGTTAATTAAAATCCTCCCCTGGAATCGGCAGATGATAGATAAAAGGGTGTCGAACCTTTCCCTCCGTGGAAGGGTGAACTAATGATTTTTCCATACCTTGCTCAGCTCAGGCAGGCTCTGTGACTCATACCACAGGGACTTGAGAAGAGAGGCGAAGGGCGTGACTCCAATTCCTGTGGCAATGCACACACTCACAGGGTAGTGAAACACGTCTGTCAGAGAGCCTCCGAAGGGCCCATCCACAGCCAGCCTGGAATCACAGAGGGCAGTTCATTTGACCTTTAGAGTGTTATACTCTTGAATGCAAAGACATCTCAAGCTCCGTGATTGTCATAGGATGGGTCAGCAGATGCAGGCTGAAAGGTTGGTGGGAAATATGAAGATTCTCTATTGGGGAAGGGGAGATGGGTAAATGGGTTGGATCAGTATCTGCTATAAGAGCAGGAGGACCTCAGATCATTTAATTCCCAGGATTTATATAAAAAGCCGAGTGTGGTAGCAAGTTTGTAATCCCAGTGTTGGGACAACAGAGACAGGCAGGTCCTTGGAGCTCTCTGGCCTGCCAGTCTATCTGAACGGCAAGTTTCAGGCAAATGAAAGACTGTCTCGAAAACAAAAATAAAACAGTGTGAGGAGCAAAAATCAGAGAAGCAACCTGACATCAACTCATGGCCTTCTCATGAGCATGTGCAGTTATGTACACATGAACACTCACATGTGAGTTGCACACACACACTCTCACACTCACACACACCTCTCTCACACATACACACTCACACACTCTTACACACACATTCTCACACACTCACACACGTATACTCTCACACTCACAGACATACTTTTACACACACACACACTCTCTCTCTCTCTCTCACACACACACACACACACACACACACACACACGATACTCTATTTGGAGAACTTGGAGGAAGCTTTAGATCCCAGGCACCCGCCCCACTGGAGTAGCACCCTCTGGACACCCTAGCTAGGTGCGGTTCATGGAAGACACAGCTTGCTTGTCTCTGCTGTGGCTCACCTCATCCACATGGCTGGCTATTTGGAGAGTTCTGAGATGTTCCTGGCTGCCTCCCTGACTTTCTTCCCTCCCCTGCCAGCTGAAAGTAAAGCAGACACTCCAGGGTGGCTTGGAAGACTTGCATTTCCTTTTCAGGGTAAAATCCCCCATTTTCATTTCTTTAGCTATGTTTTCATACACTTCTATCATTTTAGTCTAACAGGTGATTCATTTGGAATGAATATAATTTTGAAATAATTTGTCAGTTATATACCACTTGAAAAACTCACTATTTTATATGATATTTGCTAAAAAAATAAATCCTAGGGGCAGTAAAAATGTTTTGCCTTTGCTTAGCAATTTTTCTGTATAATGATAAAACATATCCCTTGAGTAAATAAGATGTTTGTTTTTACCTGCACTGGCCACTGGATTCTTCCCATCTCTTCTCCCCATTTCTCTTTGCTGGCCTTTCTTCTAGTTCCTAAATGGGTAGGGGTATTGTCTTCATCTAGACAGCATCTTTTCACATGGACTACTTACTTGCAATTTATCCTCTCTCTTTACTTCCTTAAATGGTACCCTTCCTCTAGGGCCTGTCTAAACACTATTTCTCTAGGGAAGTCCTCCTGGACTCCTGTGACTTGCTGAAATTCCCTCATCTATCCTCCCTCTGTTGTTGTAATGTTAGCATTTATACTGTGTGTGCGCTCATGATGTAGTTATGTCCATCTTGACCTCTGCGCTTCTAGGTCTATAAATGTAGGCAACAGGTCTGTCTTTATTCATTGCTTACCAGGTGCCTTGCCTGGACTACTAACCCTAGAGCTGTTTAATAGCAATTGGTCGAATCAATTGTAAAGGGAATATTTAGAGCATTTCAGTAGGCAGAATGTATTAAACAACTCCAACTACTCCAAAAGTACACATTTACATACGAACAAAGATATGGTAATTAAAAGGTTTCTAAGTCATTCATAACTGGTCCCCGAGGAGAGCCTGTCACCTGCATGGTGGGGGTGGGGGTTAACTCATTTGGGCTTTAAATATGTGTTCATGAAAGTTCAAATGGATTTATTTAAAAATATTCTATATCCCAGACCTCCTAATAATTCAAATGAACTCTCCTTGAGTTAATCTTAATTAATAAGGCTTAATTACATATTGATATATGGAAATAGAAGAATAAAACTAAAAGGCCATTAACCAGAAAGTGCTAGTATCTTAGCCCACTGTAGATTATCTTATAAATAATTATATAGATGATAAGTAGGTATAGATAGATAGAAACCCTACCCATGGATTAAGATGTCTTATTGTTGATTATTTTTATAATTAGTAATCAGTGATTTATTTGACACCAATTTACAAAAATATATCAATTAAATTCAGAGGACTCCTGTGTCCCAAAGGCCACAGAAAAAATATATCTTTCTAGTTGTTTATAATTTTGAGCCCTTCCTTTCCCTGTTTGAGAACTGGCCATACTCTGACAGCAACCTGTAAGGCACTTGGATATACTGAGGGCAGGTCTAAGTTTGAGATAATTCTTTTTCATGTCTTACAGAAATCTGAAAGGCTCTCACCTCTTGCCTCCTTTAGAGTATATTTCCTGTCTTTCTCCTCTCCTATATATCAAGTCTTGATGCCTTAATATTTGTTTTTATTTTGGGGTGGGTGGGCTATATTTCTCTATTCCTTGCAATTGGAATGGATATCTTTTGGATACATTTCCTTTCTTCCTTCCTTCCTGTCTCTCTCTTTTTCTCTTTCTCTCCCTTCCTTTCTTTTTTGTGTATACTGTGACTTTTTTGTGTGTGTTCCTCTACGTATGTGTCTGCATGTGTGTTGCACACATATGTGCATGCATGTAGAAGACAGCAGTTGATGTCAAAGTGTCTTCCTTGATCACTCTCCATCTTATATATCAATGTAGGATCTTTTATTTGAACCAACAGCTCACTGATTTGGTTAGTCTGGCTAACAAGCTGACTCCAGGATCACCTGTCTTTACCCCACGGGCACTAGGATTACAAGTGGGCTGCCATGCTCACCCAGGATTTATGTAGGTTCTGGGGATATGAACTTGAGTTATCACTTATGCTGTGAGCTCCTCATCTATAGAGCCATCTCCTGAGCCCTGGATAAACTCTTGCTTTCCGTGTTTATTCACCTGTCATCCCTTTGATTTGGATTCAGTATTTTCATTTAAAGTAGGAAGCTATTTGTCTCACAGCAGCTGAGTCTTACTAGATCCTTGATGCCTCACACCATCAACGTCCTTCCTCATTTTTCTGAGCTGAGGACTATTGGTAACTAACACAACCATTGGCATATCTAGGCTATTTGGCCTTTCTTACTCTGCAGCCAATTGTGGCTGAGCACTTACACATAATGCCAAGGTCAGTATGGAATACAATAGCTAAGCCTACATCAAAAATTAAGCATTACTGTGACCTCACACTTAAGTGTAATATAAAAAATGTGGTTCTCATAGAATTGGATAGTAGTATGATGATTACCTGGGCAGGGCAGGGAGTGCGGAAAGAGGCATAGGGGGATGTCAGTGAAATGAGATCTAAACAGAATCATACAGGAAGGACACTGAAGAGATGACACTGTAAAGCAAGGTGACTGTAACCGTGGATGAGCTATCATAATCTTGAAAAATGCAAAGTGAGTACACATTAAATGTTCTTATTGTGGGAGTGCTAACTGTGCTAACTAACAACCTTCACTAGATTTAGCGTAATTGTACATAATGTGCATATATAGACATAATGTATATACATAAATGCAATGGACATGTACTTTAAAAACCATGTTCTACACAGTAAGCACATGCAATTTATCTGTCAGTTACCAAAAATTAAGGAGGTCTGGAGGATTATATCCATGAAGGACAAAGGGTTGGAGCAGATGTACCCAGAGAGGCACCAGAGACCAGATCATGTCCGCCCTCTTGGTGATGCTCCATAGACAAGAAGTAGCACCCAGGGCATTCTGTGGGTTGATTGAAACCCAGTTGGCTGGCAAAGGGAAGAATGTTTGGCAGACTGCATAACTGGATAAACACAGAACAGAAGCAAGGATAACGCGTTGAAGGTATGAAGCTTAACAATGGAGGAGATGCGTAGGAACAAGGAAGGTAAGCAGACACTGTAATTGTGTTGTATGTGTGTGGGCAGTCACTTCCTTCTACATTCCCTGATTTTAGGCATTTTCATGTCATTTTTAACCTTAGAATTCAGTTTCATTGCTTATCCTTTATATCTCATCTTTAACAGGAAGGCATCCATCCATTCCACCCACTAGACAAAGCCAGTGTGACATACTTATATTTCCTGCTTCCCTAGAGAGGGGAAGAGGGCAAAAAAGCCCATTTCATTTCATTCCTTATACTTGTAATGATGCTTACTTAGTCACCGATAAATATTTGTCAAATTAAATGAGCTAAAATACATGTTGGGCTGAAGGTATTACTTTTTCTGTTATGTTTATCTTTATGTGTCTGACATTACCCTGGCTCTGGAGATACAGGAGAGGGGTGACAGATCTCACTTGCAGGAACTCCCATGCAAATATGCACCACTCTGTTGTTTAACTAAAGCCAACAAGTGGTGGCCACTGTCTCCCGAGAATGGAAGAAGCAGATGTTTTTTTCTTTTTCATGCTTCATTAAAATATTTAGCTTTAAAATTGTTTTCCTCATCTTTTTCTGTTTTCTTGTTCTTCTGGAGCCCTATCCATGAACTTCATGGACTATTGAATGACCCTATAGGAGTGGGAATCGACCTTCTTGTTCACTTACAGGAGCCCAGGCATGACCATACACACAGGGTCTTGGGTCAAATGCTTGGGCTTTTCTGAATAGGGTAGTGGGACAGGTGGAATCATAATTAATGAGAAGAAACCCTGATTTCAGTGCCTTATACTACGAATTTGAAAATAGGATTGCAGAGATGAATAGTCTCCTATATATTACCATACAGTCATATAGGAACAGTACAGGTCAAGTTCATCAATGACCAGACTAGAGCATCCTTCTTCAGGAGACAAACCTTTGAAAACACATTCTGAAACCCCGATCTGCGACGGGAGAGAGCTCACAGGGCTGTCTGACTCATGGCAGGCTGTATATAATTAGACAAGAGCTGCTTTTGGACCTGGAAAGGAAACTGTTCTTTCTTCCTGGATCGTCGCCTACTTTTGTTGAACATTTATTTATTTTTACAGAAATGTACTTGCTTCTCTTAAATTATAACATTTTAAGAAGACTTGAAAAAAAAACAAACCCAAGTTTTCAGCCTAGTATAACTCTATCGCCAAATCTGATAATTTATTAATGCCTTTAGATATTTTCCTGTTTGAAGTATTGCGACTTGAATGTAACAGTGATTCGGGGAGTCTCACCTTGGCATGCTACAGAGCTCACGGGGGGCCTGTCCCTCTGCCCCAAAGGCTTTCAATAATGCCTCTGTCCAGTCTCCCGAGGCGCGGATGTGCACACTGAAGAAGTCCTCCTGGGGAGCAGAGGTGAGAGTGAAGGGATGCCATTCCAGAGGGGAGATGGACGGGCACTGGATGAAGACATACTGCCCAGGCGCCATCTTGAAACCACGCTTCTTCATGCAAAGTTCCAGGACTGCAGACGGGTGACTCACCACCTACAACAGAGCAAGAGAGCTGCAGGGATTCCCACTCAGGCATCTCAAGAACACAGTCCGCATTCCATTAAAGGCTTGCAGAATCGATAATTGGCTCTTTTTTCTTTTTGAGGTATCATTTTCCTTAGACCATTGATATTTATCACCATTTTTAAGCCTGGGCTTGTAACTTGAGTGATAATAGAGTTCACTGTGCAGGGTTCTCTGCTTGGCAACATGACAGGCATGTGACTCCACACCCCATGTGACCAAACATCCCTGAGTCCAGCTAACCATTTCTAATTGAGTATAAGCGTCTATGAATGGATAACCCATAATTTTACTCAAGCTTATTAAAATAGTTGCCATATCATCTTTACTTAGAAGAACAAAACAAAAAGAAGAAAGCCAGTTATAATTTGTTATGCTTGGCAGCTACTTGCGTATTTTCTCAATCTCTTGAGAATGAACCCTGCAGTTTTCTTCACACTGAAGGAAAAAAATTACCAATCTTCCACTTCTTCCCAAAACATTTTATTTGTTGAGTTTTACTGAGCACTGTCTTGGGTCTAAATTTTTGGTACAGCCCTTTAGAACTTCTACAAGGACTTTACACTAAAGACTCATCTGAGGACAGAAGCAGTTGCCCTCCATAGATATCCATTGTTTCATAAAAAAAAACTCTGCACACCTCCATGTGGTTTATAGTAACCGCATATGAGAAGTCAACCTGCTTTGTGAATATTGAGAGAACACTTTTCAGTGGGAGGAGCCCCTCACAGCATTTTAATCTTTAGTTCTAGGCTGCGCTCTCCCTTCTGACAATGCCTCTGATGGAGCTGCAAAATGCTCTTCCTAGTGATAGGTGTGGGTCCCTACACATGTCCAAGTCTGGATCGACATCCCGTGGTGATATACTGAACTCAGCAACATAGAAACTCATAGGAGCATTCACCTGTTCACTTCTTCCAATCAGACAGTGAAGGGCTGCAGCTTTCTGTTAGAATTGTACTAGCTAATGCCTGGCAGTAGGCAGATGTACTGGCTGGTTTTGTGTGTCAACTTGACACAAGCTAGAGTCATCAGAGAGGAAGGAGCCTCAGTTGAGGAAATGCTGCCCTGAGATCCAGCTGGAAGGCATTTTCTCAATTAGGATTCCACGGGGGAAGGCCCAACCCATTGTGGGTGGTGCAATCCCTGGGCTGGTGGTCCTGAGTTCTACCAGAAAGCAGGCTGAGCAAGCCATGGAGAGCAAGCCAGTAAGCAGCACCCGTCCTTGGCCTCATCTCCTGTGTCCAGGTTCCAGCCCTGCCTGAGTTTCTATCCTTACTTCCTCCAATGAAGCACTATGACCTGGAAGCATAAAGCTAAACAAATCCCTTTCTCCCCAACTTGCTTTTTGGTCATGGTGTTTTGTCACAGCAATAGAAATCCCAACTAGGACAGTAGAATACTTTGTACTTCTGTCAACCTGTGGGTAATGCTTTTTCTGCTCATCTGTTCCTACCTTCCTCTAGCATGAAGCAAACATTAAAGAGCCATGAGGATGAACAGCAAGACAGGGAAGTCCCACCATGGTGCATGATACTAAATAGGGTAGAGCACCATGTATGTCCACTCTATCCATCTTAACCCTCCGGCATCCCTTCATACCCTCAACATGTGGTCTCATTCTAAGCCTGTGTTCAGTACTCCCAAGTAAGACTGTGCTTGCTTGAAGCTGTGTGGACCATACTGACATGTTTGCAAAATTCCACCTTCATATAGTATCTGAGGTTACTATGGTCAGTGTAAAGCTCCCTGCCTTTTCCTCACTAGAGAGAAACCATAATAAAGAGAAATACAGCAGACTTCAGTGCCATGCCATAAGCTTTTTATCAGAATTGTGTGTACCAGCGTGGAGCCTTGATCCCTGTCTCTAGCAAAATTGGTCATACTGAAAGATGCTCTAGTAGAAGCAATTATTAGAGCAGAAGACGAGCCTCTAAATTACAGGCGGTCCTGCAATAAAAATGGCAAATTAAAAACTTGGGCTAATAAAAATTTTCATCTACACTCAGGCTTTTATTCAGACATAAAGCTACACACATACCTTGGTAATGACAACTTCTTGTTGGAATCTCCAGAACCTAATTATTCTTTCAAATGCATACAAGACCACAGGGCCCAAAGCCCATTTCCAGGCCTGGAGGGAGGGAGGGAGAGAGAGAGAGAGAGAGAGAGAGAGAGAGAGAGAGAGAGAGAGAGAGAGAGAGAGAGAGAGAGAGAGAGAGAGAGAGGTGAACATCCAAAAGTTTCTAATTTGAACCACATCAATTTATAGTATGATTTTGACTAAGGTATCTCCCTTAACATTGGCCCAGCTATCGACAACAAAGATGTCTCTGTGTACTAAATAGGATAACATTTCATTATTCTTTAAAGTCTACAATCTTATTTAGGAGATTAAATTCTCCTCTATGGGTTTTTATGCTTACTTGATCAATGATGCCTTTATGTAATTAGAAATAATTGAATTTGCAAAGAAATAAGAAGGGCAGATTGGTGTTTATGTTATGTGTGAGAAGGTTGTAAATGTTCCCAAACCCAGCTGAAGTCAAAGGCTTACAAAAACATTTTTTCATCCAATGTAAGGAGTTTAAATTGTAACTTTTGGGGCCAATAAAGCCTCACAACTAGGGCGTCTGTTTCTCCCTACAATGTTATCTGGAATGAAAAAAAAAATCAAGCTAGATTATTTAACACCCCGAGTCTCAGAGGATCAGAACAAAGACATAAAAAATTGTCAGGAGAGCTGTGATAAGGAAAAATTTTCATGCTTAAAAACTTATTATTACTAAAAAGTTGCTTACTATGCCCATTGTTTGGCAGCCCGTTCTTGTCTCAGGTGTTGTGTATAATACAAGGGGTCTTTCTCCAGTAGATGGGAAGGAATGGGAACTTGTAACTTTTGTGGTTCTATGTCAGACAACCCTGGCATTGTGTATGTCAAGTATTGATATATGCTAGCCTCTCTATTTCATAGAAGAAGAAACCGAGGCTCAGTCTGATTAAGCCACTCCTTCCACGTGATAAGGTATGTGGTGAAGATGTGGGCTTGGGTGGGCCTGGTACACAGTCTGTTCCTGCAGGATCTCAGCTGCCTCGCTTGAGCACTAAAGATACGGCAGACACGGAATCCCACTACTTCCTGCCTGACACCAGAATAGATCCTGAGGCTTGCTTTATAAGACACTAGAGATTCTGAGCTTATTGAATTTTAGATGTCAAGGGGTGTTTTGAAATCTTGCCGGAATCTTATAGAAAAAGCAAAACATAAAAGAACTCTAAGTTTCTGGGAATGGGTTTGAGTTGCCTAGGGAGGCTTGGCTGGCTCTCAGAGAGCCTCATTGGAGTTCAAGGCTTGGAAAACGTTCTTATATTTCCTTCTTGCCATTCTAAATCTACCATGACCTAAGTTCTTCAATAAGACCTTGGGGATGGGGAAGGCACGTCCTTCTTTTGAGTCTGCTTGTTCTTTAAATGCTCACTACTCATTATTTCATTACTGGCTGTCTGGCTCCCTCTCCAAGACTACAAGCTTTTTGATGCAACTTTTATTTCCTTTGAATTACCTTTCTTATTTTTAATTTCCTTCCTTCATCCTTTCCTCCCTCCCTTCCTTCCTTTCATTTTTCTTTTCTTCTTTTTCTATGGTTAGTTCTGGTTTTGTTTGCATGGTACTTGTCTTCACCTATCAGCCCCCTCTCTTTCTTTCCTGGGGGGCTCTTGCCTGCTTGATAAACACTAGGATTTATTCAGAGAACACAAAGCAATTTGACCCACTTACTCTTTCTGCCTCAGTGGGATTTAGCAACGTGCTCAGAATAGCAGGAAGGATAAAACCCTTTATCCACTGGTGCTAGGGTGGGGCTGTGGAGTTGATCAGAGAGGGAAGAACAGAGTAAATGGCAGGAGAATGGAGTTGGACCAAGCAAATGAAGCCATAGCTCCCTTATGCTTGAATAGACCAGAAAGTATTTTAAGAAGTGGTTTGGGATATTTAGAGAAATGACAGCAACAATTCTTTCTACTTGAGAGAAAGATTTCCAAAGGCATCCATGTAGTCTCTGTGTATTTTCACAAATAATCTTCCATATCCATTCGAAAACACACATTTTAGACATCATACAGTTCATTTTGGTGGTGACAAATCAGTCATGGCCTCTGATTTTTTCCACATTGATGAAATGGAATGGGTTATTTTTCTTTCCATGGTTAGTCAGTAAGGAGAATGTAAGCCATTAATCCTTGGCTCTATCTCTGTTCTACTATATAAATTGCTCCAGGAGGAGATAGGGAGGCTTATTTATACTGTGCTACTCCCAGAGTCCCTTGGAAGTTCAGGAATGAGGGTGAGATACAGCCAGTAAGTGATATCAGGAAAGTGGTCCAGCTGTGGGAATCAGCATACAGGAGTAAATAGATGGAGAGAGCATGCTCCCATCTTCTATCCTGTATTTTCAGATATATTATGAAGTGTGTGTGTGTGTGTGTGTGTGTGTGTGTGTGCATACATGCTTGTGCATTCATGCCTGCCTGTCTGCCTGCCAAGGTCAACTTTGGGTATTGTTCCACAGGAGACTTCCACATTGTTTTCTGAAATAGGAGCTTCACTGATTAGGCTGAGGTGATTGGCCAGTGAGCCCCAAGGAGCTGCCTCTCTCCACCTGCAGTGTTGAGATTACAGACGCACTGTTATTGCGCTAGGCTTCCAGGGGATTGGTCTTAAGTCCTCACACCTGCATGAGAAGCTCCTCACTGGCTGAGCTGTCTTCTGTATGTTTGAATTTTTGTATTTTTCTAATTGGAAAATGATTGGAGAAAATTCTTATTTAAGTTCCTGCCAAGCTCTTGAATGTTTTGGGCTTATTCACAGAGATAAAAATGATGCTGGGAACATGTAAAGGAACTCTTAGAAGAGTGTCAGAGATTTGTAAGGAATGTCATAGGATGTGGGGAAGAAATGCCACAGCCTGCCACAAAGTTGGGAGCTTTTTTCATGGTATGACTTTGCTTGGAAGGAATGCCCTTTGTAGCAGAGGCAACCCTTTGAAACAAACTTAACCTCACTTTCTCCATCCTTTAAAGGACCAAGACTGTTTAATATGTCAGCTTCTTTAGTACTGAAAACCCATATGGTTTTCTTGTTGCCTACTCCAAAAATGTTCAGAGAAATCACGGTACAGTGAATGCACAGAAGTGAAAACATGTTGGCTTAATAGCAACAGCAATGAAACTTGATACCTCCATTTTTATTCCTATCAGAAAATAAGGGCCATCTGCCTTTGATTTTATTTGATGGTTATGAATGCCCTATTTTTTATAGACAATAATCTCTCCTTGGCTAGGACTCCCATGCCTGAGTCCTGTGTTTGTCTACTGATGGGCAAGCATGGTAACATACCACTTGGTGGACATTGCTTACCCATTGACTCTACCTTGGCCCAAGTTTTCCCTCTTACCATTAATATCATTCCTAGAAAGTGGGGGGAAAAGCAGAGTAATATAATTATGATCTGCAGGGAAATGGACTAATTCCTTGGTTAAGGAGGACCAAGACAGCTTGATTGCATGAGCAACTCTCAAATCTGCAGGTGTGTGTGCCTGTGAGATGGGGGGGAGAAAAGAGGGTTGGGGATTTCTTTGGACGGTTTATACAATGTGATGGACAAAAGATTCTCTCAACACTGCATCACTGATGAATACTTCTACAGACAAAATTTTCATTAAAAATGCCCCAGGAAAGAGAGGCAAAGAGGACCAAATTGAGTCTTGTTAAGTGGTGTTAGGTCAGGTGCAGTGAAGCATGGGACCCCTCGGTGTCCTTGGAATGCCTTTCTGGTTCAGCATCTCTAAGACATCAGAGGGAATATTGTACAGTCCAGCCACGCAGTGATTGCACAGCCCACACACGCTTTGGATCAGGATCCATTAAAAATAATGGGCAAGGGTGGCGCTGTGAGTTTGGGTGTGCAAAGAGGTGTGGCGGGGGAGTGAGCGAGAGCTGGGCAAGTTTCCCCTCTTAATCATAATTTATGCCAGCGTACACTGCTTGAGCAGGCCCTGGTCTGTATTCATGAAGTGTGAGAGAGTATTGATTTTTTTAATGGAGATGCTGTGACTGAAAATTTTAGAGAGGTATTCATGGTCTTCATTAATATGCAGGCCAGATAGTGGCTACCGAGAGTTGAGTTTAAGACGGAGACAATCTATACCAGCCATTAAAAGAACCACAGTCTAATGGGCACATCTCTCAATTTTAAACATTTCTCCCAGCAGTTTCTCCCTTAAAATTGGCACTGAATTTAGTGTATTGAGAATTAAAAAATGATTATTTATATTCTTCTGATATCATTGTTGAATTTCCCAAATCCTCACAGTTTATATGCTGTTATAGACTATTATTCCATTTTAAATGATACACATTTTGGGCACTTGCTGCCTCCTAGTTTTCCTTTTCTATTTTTGTTTGTTTTGAAACAAGGTCTCCTGTCTTCCAGGACAGTTAGACTTTTGGGGAATCTCCAAATGGTTGATAATTCCCCCTGCTCCCACACTCTGAGTGCCCCAGTTACAGCGTGTTACCATGCTTGCTTTCTGTGGTGCTGGGGCTCAAACTCAGTGCTTTGTGTACGCTAGAAAAACATTCTATCAACTGAGATACAGCCTTAGCCTTCTCCTCCTTTTCATGTAGTCATTTCATTTATTGTCTGCCACGTGTCAATCATTTATTGTCTGCCACCTGTCAATCACCCAGTTGAACCAACGGTTTGGAGACCAATTACTCCTGTTTACTGATGTCACCAACTACAATGCCTGCTGCAAACACAGAAAACATTACTTTCCAAATCTGTGGACACTATCATTAAATTAATACTCAAATTAATTAAACCTATTCTTGGCTAACATTGAATTTAATTAGAACAAAAGTAATTGGACACCCCTAATTATTTTGATTGCAGTTCCTTTGATTGGAGAGAGAGAGAGAGAAGGTACGCTTATGAAGACGCTTGGTTCTCTCAGATACCCAGGAGACAGGCAGAGGGAAAAAGATGGAGCAGAGCGTGGACAGCCACCACCAGGCTAGATCCCTCACAGCCATTACTCTGCTGTTATGAAGTCCTTCAGTATCAGAGATCCATATTTAAGCCTGAGCAGAATACATTTCCAGGCTGAATAAAGTGCTTTTGGCAGTAAATCTCTTTTAAAATTATCCATAACTCGATTTCTCCATTAGCCCACTTAATGAAGAGTTGACTTCATCTAGTGGTGACATGGGCGGTTCTTTTTTCAAGCCTATAAAAGTTCTCGTTATTTTAACTGTGGGGACAGTTATTTTTAAAAAGCTCCTGGGTTCATTCTTACCGAAGGTTCTTTGCCAGAAAATTGCGGAACAGGGCACAAGGCAGCTGCCTGCCATTCAGCATAGCGGTCTTTGCAGAAGGTGACATTGTGCAGCTGGAGACTCTCTGGAGTTTGGCCTCGAACAATCCGACTTAGAAAAAGAAACACAGACACACACACCACAGCAAAACAAAAAGCACGAAAATGTCAAGTCGATTTTGTGCATTGCCTTTACATGGATTTATACTCTGCAGTGGGTTCCAGAAAAACACTCCTATCTCTTGAAACTTGGGCTGCCATTCACTTCCCTCGGCGTCTTTAAAAATAGGCATTTAAAATGCTTTGGATAACTTTGAAGATCTCAAAAAAGCATTGCCCCTCTGTGGTATCCTGTGTCACATTGAAAGTGTCTATATTAGAGAATTCATAATGAAGGAAATTGTTTGAACACATCCTTTTGTAGACTGTTGAATTTAATTAGGTTTCATCTCGCTCTGATTGCTGATTTGGGCTAATTGGCTAACTTTGTACGATTGGTTCCTTTTGCAGATTGATTTAACTTCTACCCTTCTTAGCTTGTTTCTGAGCGCTTAGAAGTTTCAAGTGAATAAGTCAAAAGAAGTGCCCAGAATAATAGTTTTTCCCCCCAGTGACCACTAGTGGGCTTAGCATTTGACAAGGTCAAAACAGGTCACTTTGAAATGTGTCTTTGAGGCCAGATTGATAAATTTAAAAGTAGAAAGAGAATCCTGAATGAACGGAGCACTGGATAAAGAGTCCTGTAATCCTACTATATTGCATTTGTTACAGATGCATGACTAACTGACCTTTGCAAAATGCTTTGGCATCAACTCTCAGGATGACTTTTCCTGACTTGTAAAGGACCAGACCAGTCTGGGAGCTGCTCAGTTTCTAGGTGGTTGTGAAGAAGATGCATTGGCTTGTCTTGAGAAACTAGGTTCTCATAGACAGAGAAACATCCCAGAGACACATGTCCTGGTGTGGCTGTGGAGTAGTGGTCTTCTTGAGTAAGTATTACAGGGCATGGGGAGGAGGGCAAGTAGCAGTAACATTCTTGGAAGCAGTCTGGTGTCACTTAGAAGTGATGCGTTAGCCTCTGACTCTGTTCCTGAGAAGTCACTCAAGCTTGATAACATTCCTTTGAGTCAGGAGAGCAAGACTATTTGTGAATCTCCAGGACACAAATGATGGTGACCTAAGGTGGGGGAATGATAAATGGGAGATAGATTGTGGACGCCATACATTTTGGTACCTTCATCCTTAGATGTTAGGCAGTTTCCCCCATGCTATCCACAGGAGGTTCTAGATCATTCCATATATGTTATTTAGAAAGTAAAAGTTTAAAATTTCTCCACCTATACCATTGCATAATAGGTAAACTAGTGAACTTCATTGGCTTCCAACAATCCTACAGCTACTTGGCATTTTGTATAGAATATGCAAATCACTTTTGATGTAAATAGTAGCTGCAGAATATGTCAAGATGAGATTAAAAGGGTCCTTATCGCCAAATAAGCCTTTCAGTGAGGTTTCAATAACTCCAGCATTCTCCTTGTGAGATATCGTTTGCGCACAAAAACATCTTCAGCAAGTTAATGACCATTGGGATCCACTTGTTCAGAACAAGGGCTGTGAGTGCAGGGGCTGTGGTTGTAGAGGGTTGCAGGAAATTTTTCCATGTTAAAAGCGGGATCACACTGAGATTTCTTAAGTCAACTTACAAAAATCAGTAACCTCCCTTCATACTAACAACAAACAGACTGAAAGAGAGACCATAAAAACATTCCTATTCACAGTAGCCTCAAAGATGTTTAGGAATAAACTTAACCAAAGAGGTGAAAGACCTCTACAGTGGGATATTTAAATCTCTAAAGAAAGAAATGGAAGGAAGACACTAGAAAATGGAAAGACTGCTCATGCTCATGGAGTGATAGAATTAATGTTGTCAAAAGACCCATTTTTCATGTCACAGACTCAGTACAACCCTAATCATAATTCCTGTGAAGTTATTCACAGAAATGAGAAAAAATCCTAAAATTAATATGGAACCACAAAAGACCCCAGTGAGCCAAAAAGCAATCCTGAGCAAGAACAACAATGTTGGGGAGGATTCCCATACCATATTTCAAGGTACATTAAGAGCCATAGTACTAAAAGGAGTGTGGCACTGGCACAAATACAGACATGTAGATCCATGACACTAAATAGAAGGCTCAAACATAACTACACATAATTACAGCCATCTTGTATTTGACAAAGTTGCCAAAAATGCACACTGGAGGAAAGACAGCATCTTCAACAGTGAATGCTGGGAGAATTAGGTATCTATATGTAGGTGAAGGAAATTAGACCCATATGTATGACCTTGCACAAGTATCAGCTTCAAATTGATCAAAGACCTCACTGTGAAACCTGAAAACACTGGAGCTGTTAGAAGAAAACATAGGCTGAATCCTACAGGATATCGGTGTAGGAAAGGACTTTCTGAATAGTCTTTCTTAATTCTCACTTGAGAATTAAGGCCAACAGTTGTCAATCGTGACTTCAAAAAACCAAAGAGTTCTATACACAAAGGAAACAATAATGTGAGGGGGGAAGCTATAGGATAGGAGCAAATATTTGCTATCTGTACATCTGACAGGGGATTAATGTCCATAGTATACAAAGAATTAAAAAACCAGAGTTAAACAAACAACCCAGCTTAAAAAAATGGGTTAGGAATCTGAACAGAGAGGTCTCAAAAGAAGAGCTAAAAACAGATAAGGAATATCCCAAAGTCTTTACCATCCTCAGCTATTAGAGAAATGCAAATGAAAACCACTTGGAGATTTCATCTTAAGTCTGTCAGAAAGGCGAAGGTAGAGAAAACAACTGACAAGTAATGTTGGCGAGGATGCAAGGGGAAGGGGCCTTCATTCACTGCTGGTAGGGTTGGAAACTGGTGCAACCATTATGGAAATAAGTGTGGAGCATTCTCACCACCCAGCTGTACCATCCTCAGCAGGCACTCAAGGGACTAGGCAAATGCTTGCTCAGCCATGTTCGCTGATGCTCTAGTCACAATTTCCCAATAGTCAGGGGGATGTGTATACGTAGAGGCACAGATCTGAGTGCCCTGAGTGTAACGCGGACTTACCCTCCTCCATGGATAGCCAGGCTGATGAAGAAGATGATGAAAACATGGTGTGTATACCAGAATAGCTCATAAGAGGATTGTCTGATGAACTCACTTGAAGAGGTCATAATCAAGATCAATGCTAGAGAGATCGCCAGGCCGGTAGTCCCCGAGACTGTCATCAGTAGCTCTGTGGTCGTGCTCTAGGAGATGCAAGTGCCACCAAATTAATATCTTGGATTTTTGCACTTTGATCACTATTAGCACTAGGGGACCCAAGCAAAGAGCAATTTAGGGTGCTTTGCTCCAATGCACAGGACCCCACAACAAGGTCCAGGTATGCTTCAAGAAACCAGTTGTGCAAATTCTTCCTCTTCCCATGTCTTACCATGGATATTTGCTCTGCTCAAATTTTATAGGATACCAGGCCATTAAGTCCATATTTTCCATTTGCAAGAGTTATTTTTCTCGTCAAAGCTACTATTCTGAGTTGCTACCAGAAAGCATAGAAAGCATTTGAAGGACAATGGCTGCAGAACAAGCTCTCATTTCAAGATTTTAATTTTTAAGATTAAGAATGTGGCTGGCCATGCTTAATTGCATCTTAACATTAATAAACACTTTTTTGGGGGAGAGGTTCCTTAGGGGCACGCCTAATAAAGCCATGGCTTGCTCAGTTCCCCTGGTGGTTATGCCTTGCTCTAGCTTTTTAATTGGAAGGACCATGACTTGCATTTCCTTCACTTTACCTCAGGGGGCCTTGATATAAGGCTTGCTAAATCCTCTCTGATCAATAAGGGGTTAGCTATTCCTATCTGGTGGGTACTTCCCAAAGGGCAGACTGTGACCCAAGAGTGAGAAGGACAGTTAAATAGCCTTTAAGAATATTAATTGCAGTGCATTTTGTTTTTATTGTGAGCTCCCAGATTCTTGCTTAGTCATTAGTATTCATACCCCGTGTTCTCATCACTGAGCCAACTACCAGCTCAATAAACTCACACTATATCTTTTGTCAGTAAAACCTCATTAATTTAGGCTGCTTTGAGATTTGGAAGTAATTTGGACAGGGGCTTCTCCATTGTTTACTTTCTTCTCTTCACAGAGCAGAAGAGTGGGATAAAATTGAAAGAGAGTGTACATAAAACATTTTAAATATTTTTGTAAGTATACTCAGAACTTTATAAGTCAATTTACAGCATTTGATGTGCTAATTTCAAATCATTATTTTTTTCCTATTAAAGTGGGTTTCTTCTTGTTTCCCTGTGAAACATTTATGGACTGGCTCAGTTGCCTTGAATAGTCTAAAGTAATCCCACTGCCTCACCTGTGAATTGCTTCAATGTATGTTTCAAGTTATTGATAATCATCTCTTTAAATACCCAAATTAGAGGCTTCTGAGACTAACTAGTACTTACACAGTATATTGCTTCTAAAATTTTGAAACAACTGTGTTTGAAGTAGCTTAATTAGCTTGTTAAATTGCTTTAAAGGTTGTTTATAATAAATACTATTTATTGCATAGTCTCTTCAAGATGTTGAGATTTATTCTTGAGTCTCCGGTGAGCAGTGAATTTTGTAAAGCCTTAGTAGGGGAAAATGTAGACCCAAACAGGTGGCCAGATAAATTCTGAGATTCAACAAAATAGCATTAAAGGTACTTCCGCATGCTTAGGGCATCTGCAGTTTTGATTTGTAGCTATGAAATTTGTGCTTCTAATTGCTGTCAGTTAGAAAAGGGAATTCAGTTTATTAATGGCCTGATGTTGTAAGCCTTCATGACAGAATCAATGATTTGACGTGGAAGAATTTCCTCCTAACTGGAGTCTAAATCTCCCTTCTCAAATAAAGGAGCATGGGCACTTAGAGAGAGGGCCCAGGTTAATAACAGACAGATAGACTCCTGTTGATGGCCTAGAAGACATTTCTTGGAAAACAGATTATTTTTTTAGATTAAAAAGAAACAACTTGGTCTTTGTTCCCATATGGTAGTTAGGAAATATTTGTATGAACCAATAAGAGAAGGTGTAAGGGTGGGCTGAGGGGAGTCTTTACCTCTACCTTTACCACAGGATGCTGTGACTGATTTTATTTTTTCTTCCCAGAGTCACTGCTACTCTGTGCCTTTAGATGTTATCATTAATGGAGTCACTAGCCATGCAGTTGTCATTTGGAAATGACCTTTTTAGGTCCATGTTTGGTTTGGCAAACCAGCTGTTCACACATGTGCCATAATATGAGGTGCACAAAACAGACCAGAAAACAATCTGCAGGCTGAAAACGAAGCACCTCATCTATCATTTCTAGATCTGGGTGGTGTATGCTTTATGAATCTAACATCAGGGAAGGAAATCTTATCAGGAGATGCTTTTAAAATTCATAATATTACTGCTATAGTGGGCCTTTGCATTCCTAAAATATCACATATACACTCTCAGTATAAATTAATTAAGCAGAGTATATTTTCTCCTTGTTCACATCCTTCCAGCCACACTAATTGCTGGAAAACTAGCTTTTGGAAAATAAAAGGGTGAAATTGATATTAGCATTTGGCAGAAACCTCTTTTACCCGGTTCTTTTAGATAAAGCTTTTGAGATCTATGACTCTTGGTATGGGGATGTGAGGGATTCTGTAGAAACGAGACTGGTGAACATGCGAGAACTCACCATATACAAGGTGCGGACCGGATTGAGGTAGCTCTCATTTGGGGCATTGCCAAGTTTGGAAAGCACAGCCAGCAGTCCGCCGGCATCCTTGGCCTGACCCAGGTGGTAACGCTCCATGTTGAACCAGTGTGCCACAACGTGGATCGCTGAGGATGAAGAGACATCAGACATAGGTTGCATCAAACGCACTCCTTTTAGTTCTACCATGCAGCTACCTTAAGTTTCTCTATTCTGGTTTTGGCAATTGGCAAGGATAAGTGATTTATTTGTATGTCTTTCCCAGTGTCTTGAACGGAGTGGAACATGTAGTGTGTGGCTTACACATGCATTTTGATATTATCAAGAAATAAAGTGATCTCAGTTCACCATGATTTAATTTTATATATATAATCATTTTGGAAGTGATGCAAGTCATGATATCAAGACATGGTAATTGTACTGGCTAGTTTTATGGCAATTTGACATAGAGGAGGAGTTTCAATTGAGAAAAATGCCTCTATTGGATTGGGCTATGAGACAGTCTACAGGATATTTTCTTAATTAGTGATTGATGTGAGAGGGCCTACCCCATTATGAATGGAGTCACCTCTGGGATGGTGGTCCTGGGTTATGTAAGAAAAGCAGGCTGAGCAAGCCATGGGGAGCAAGTCACTAAGCAGCGCCCCTCCATGGCCTCTACATCAGATCCTAACTCAAGATTCTTGCCCTGTTGGAGGTCTTGCACTGACTTCCTTCAGTCATGGAGACAAACCCTTTTCTCCCTAACTTGCTTTTTTGGCCGTGGTGTTTCATCATAGTACAATAGTAGTGCTAACATGGTTACAGAGATGGTATAATTCTTAAGGAAATGTGGTGGTACTCATGGGTATAAGAATACAAAGCTTCCTGAAGAAGTCAGAAAGAATTATCCTGTAATACATGCATCACATACAACAATATATGTTTACTTGACATGTAGGTTGACACCAGGGAGATAAATCTCTTTGCACTTTTTCCAGACATTATTTTCGGTTCTTTGCTTCATATATTCAAACATGGATGCATATATATGTGCATACATATATGCACTTATACATCTACACACACACACACACATACACAGATGATTCTCACAGAATTGAAACGAGGCAGTATTTGTGGAACCAAACATATTCTTTCTGTACTCTTAAGTAAAGTGTGCTATTTAATTCCGAGAGCTGATGATGTTTATATTCTAGGTAAAGAGGCCAAGTTCAAGGACACAGTGTGATCTGCCTTGAAGATTCTGCATCCATGCTTTTCTCTTCTAGCTTGGGAACTCTGTTGAGAAGCCAGCAGCCGGTATTATCTCCATGGGGACCAAGGTGGGTGGCCAGTTGACACATGCCATTGTGATCAGACTCAAGTGTGAATGCAGGATTCATTATGTAGGATATAGTTTATTTGCCTACTTTCCTAACTTCTGCGTCTGCGATGGGAAGTAGCTGAGACACACACTAAGTCTATACACACACTAAGTCTGTACACAATGTGGGTGTGTTTCCAGTATCCCCCATGGTTGTCCACTGTGATTGGAGGTGGGGCAGAATGAAGGGAAATTAAAAACCAAGCAGCTTCTGAGAGTATTGGGGATGGGCAAAAGCTTAGTTGGCACAGGGCTTGCCAGGGAAGCGTGAAGACTTGAGTCTTTCCCTAGCACCTGTATGAGAAGAGCCGTGCACAGCAGTGCAGGTTTATAACCTCAATACTGGGTGGGGCAGAGGCTGAAACTTGAAACTGCTGGCTAGACAGTCTAACCAAGAAATGTGGTGAAATCCAGGCTCATGGAGAGACTCTGTTTTAAAACATAAGGTAGAAAACAACCTAGGAAGCCACCCAATGCCAACTTCAGGTATCTATATACACATATGCACAGGTATGAATGCACACACACACACACACACACACAAGATTTCTCAGAATATTGCTGCTATTTTGGTGCCTGTGGTCATAGCCATACAATTATTTAGAAATGCCATCTTCTATTCAGCAGAATTTTCTTTTCTGTTACCTGGGCTCCTGCTGCCAAAATCACTTCCTTTTTCTGAATGGCAAAACTCTGTTCATGCTTTAAGACTCAATTCAAAAGTTGTTTTTTATACATGTTTTTCAGTTGGGCACCCACATGCAGGATATTTTGATTTCAGCTTCTCAGCACATACTATTCTGAATGCTTATTTATGCTTGCACATCTCCAAAGGACTTTGACTCATCGAGACTTGTCCCTCCTTAAAACCTCAGCTTGACTCACTGCTTAGCATCAGAAATATTTCATAATTATTTGCTTAATGACATTGAGATTACAGCAAGACATAGGGATTAAAAAGAAAGGGTCAAGAAATCAGTTGATGATACTGTGGTTGGAGACGTATATCTACTGATGTATACTTCTGGTGTAATTTCCTTTAGGCTTTAAGTTGGACGTGTTAAGTCAGGCATACTTCTGCAGCTCCCTGAAGCAAGTAAAACTTGTGACAGTGTTTCTTTAGTTCTCATCTTTATTATGACTCAGTGAGGGTTTCATCCAATAAACAGTGTGTTTTCTCCTTAGGAACTGTAACGGTTTGTATGTAGTTTTTCCCCACTAAGGTTCTAATCGTAACACTGATACGCCAAAGTTGAGGAGTGACAAGACCGTTAAGAAGCAGTCCCAAAGGGAGGGCATTACTAGCCCTTCCTCTGCTCTGGCCTCAGATATCACAGTGATCTTTCCCTCTCTGTATGGTTCAGACACAATTCCTTCTGCCCTGATGCAGTACAACCCAGGGCCGTTTGAAAGAACTCACACAACTTGTTTAGTATTTCCACTTCAGAAACATATCCATTTTCTTTCTAAAATACCCAGCTCAGGTGTTTCCACAGAGGAATGACATTGATCAATACTCAGACTCTGTCATCATATGCCTGTAAAGGGGGTCTCTTGCTCAGCCCAGGAATGCAAGAAGAGAAAGGCTCACGGAGTGTCAATCACCACTGTGGTGTAGGTGAATTGGGAACTGCTTGCTAAATTCAACCCAGACATCAACCACAATTTCTAAACTTCTGAAAATTGAGCTAATTTTTAAAATCAGGTTGTGTCTCTCACAGCTAACCTCTATGGAGTGCTTACTGCATACCAGACACTGTTGACAATGCTGTTGGTGTATCACTTGATTTGGTTTGCAGGCACTGAGCCCCATTTTACAGACCAGTATTCAAAGGATAATGGTGAAGTTTGGGTGAAAACCTGCTGATGTGACCTTAAGGCCAATCTTTGGACATGTGGGCTATATTGTTTATTTTGACTAATTTTGCTATTTTTCCTGAATAATGAACTTAGATCAAACTCTGATGGTCTTTCTTGGATCCCGTGGTATGGCAAAGCGTTAGGACCCTGTTTCTAAGGCTAAGGCCTGGTGTTTGAGGTCATCACCACAGTTATCCTAAGAGTTTGTTGCCATTTTATCCCTCTCCCCACTCACTTCTTTGCCCATTGCTTTCTTTGATTCTCCCTTCATGGAGACAGGTTCTGGGGGCATTCCCATTTCACAGGACTGGAAATTGATTTTCATATTGTATTATGGGACTGACTCACCAATATACCATCTATAGTCAAACTGTGTTTCTACCACTCCTCTCCCTTGTAATGAGTTGTTGATCACAATCTGTTTCCTGTTAGGTTGGTTTCCAAATGAGTATTAAACTAAACTTAAGTATGTGTTTAGGACATGGAGCTACTGATCACATCTATTGGCACGTGTCTTCTGTTTGAGCTGAAGACACTAATAAGGGAGAAGGAAACCTAAGACACCTCCCAAGAGGCGACCTCTAAAGGGCTATGGTAGAACTTTGTTTCACATATTTTTAGTGTACTTTAAAGTTTACATCTTAAAATGTTTCTTTGCTTCTGCCTTCTCTACCTTGGTTTGGTTTTACAAAGTGGATTAAATTCCTTATAGCTTAGTTATCTCAGGGACCCTTGGGATAAAAACCACCCAAGCCCACTTTGATTGTGTAAACTATTATTTTCCCCTTAGACTTGATCTAGGCTGAAAGTTAGAGATACACCAATGGGCGGTTAAACTCAGGACTGCTGGGACTTGAAGGTGACAGGAAGGCACTGCTTTTGTTGCCCTTCAGACATTGTATCCTATTCTTTTCAGTATGAACCATCAAACCATTGTGGTATGGCAATAGTTATTTCTGAAATGGATTTGCCATAGTGATGCAGTTGATACCTCTCTCCTTCAAAGTCATTGAGATTGGGTGTTAGTGTCTATCAGAAAGAATACTGAAGTGATGCTTTTTGATTACCTGATTTATTTCTGCCTTGAATTTCCCATCTGTCAAATAGGTAGATGGGACAAAAAAATAGCCACACCCTCACACGGCATCTTAGCTCTCTTCCATCCTGTGATGTCTGTGTATTTCTCTGAAGCTCACTGAAAACGCTTTTCATTTAACAAGGATCTACGGATGTGAGATTCAAATATTAATTTGTTTCCAAAACTCCATAGTGAATGGTTTAGATGGGAGATCTTCATTCTTGCACTGAATCCAATACCACTGATGGAAAATGACTCCTTGTGTGCCCCCGTGGACTTCCTATGGTATACACTACCATTTACTGACAAGAGCTCAAGATACCTCTTTCTGTTAACCACCAAATGCACCAGGCTCTTAGTGGGGCTTCCTACAATTTGATTTTTCTTACCCAAGTACTTTCCAAGGGTCCGGCTATCTTGGCAATGCTGCACATGTGCATCTAATTGGTCTGTGAACGTCTGAGCAGACCAACAAACAAACAAAAGCCAACAAAACAAAACAAAAACAACAACAACCCAAAAACCCATACAGGCTACAATTAGAGCTAGTTTCCCCAAGAAAGTGCCATTTACATCTTTCTTTTCTTTCTTAGTTTTCCCCCTGGAGATCAAAGGAAATATAGTTGGGGGGAATCTTGGAAAGGGGTCAGTTCTAGTACCCTTCTGTCTGCCTGCCAGCGATAACAGTGGCTCTGGAGTTAGTCACCCCTTAATTAAGGCTGGCATGGAAAGGAGGACCTAGGAGAGAATCTCCTCAGTGCTTCTGAAGCCACAATCTGGCTGACTTTCCAGTGCAGGGTCTGGTAGAGAACCGAACCATTCTGGCACGCTGTGAGCCATGTGTTTGTAAATCACATTAAAACCTCTGAGGCAGGACTCGGAGTGGAGCTTTGTTGGCTCTCTGAGTCCCTCCAGCAGAAGTGGTGAACTGGTTGGTAGCCATTTGTTAGCGGTTGGATCTGGGAGAGTTTGTGCCTTTGGAGCCGTCTCTGCCTTGGGAGCTCCAAATCATTATTTTCTCAGTACCTTTATTCTGTAGCCTCTCTTCTCAACCCGCTCCTGCTCTGTTTATTGATGTTTGTGAACTAATTTTAGCAACTCATCAGGAGTTGCACTCAGGGTAATTTTACACCCCTGAAACCTGGCAGACACAAGCTGCAGAATTTGCGGAAAGAGCTGCGTGGGTCACAATTTACAACCTTCGTTGATGGAAACCCAGGCTCCAAGGTACTGCTTTTCAATTGGAAGGGTCTGTAAGGTCTGCCATGGAGCAGGGAATCCAGAAAGATGTACATTAATAAGAACGCAAAGACTGTGGAACTACGATTTTTATGCCAGTGGGCTTAAGGTCCCTGAACACGATTTATTCATGGTTGGAGGCATCCCTGCTTATCATAGGCAGGCGAGCAGGAAGGCTGGAAGAAACAGCTCCTGTCACTGCCTTTTCCATGATGCCCTTGATTAGAGATAGCATTGTTTTACCTCTTCCCTCCCCTCCCTAGCCTACATCCACCAGTCTCTAATTACATCCTTTAATGATCCGACCAATTAGAGCCTGCAGTTCAACTTCTAGGGGAACGGATGAGAAATTAGAGGTTGGCGTGCAGAAACTTCTCTGTGGATGCATTTCTTCCAAGGTTACACACCTCTATTAAGCCAGTTGGCTATTTGAAAAGCAGCATAATGGGCGAGGCTAATAAAATAAGCTCAGGGACACTGCAGCTGCTCCCCGGTGAATACAGCAGAAAGACAAATGAGAGAAGCAAGGTATAGCCATGAAACCTGGCCTTAGCATTTTCCCCCTCTTAAAGCACAGTTGCTAGCCACATTTCTTAGTTAATGTGAAATGCAGTAATTGCTTTGTCAAGGACTGGATGAGGGAAAGAATTTTCTTTCCACTATCCTGCCTTTGTTGGGCTGGAAACCACAGCAGTGGGGCTGGTTGCCATGGAATACTGGATGAGGGTACTTTGCTTGGAGATACAGCTCTGACCCTGCTGGGGTGAGCCCCAGGAGATCCTCAGGAACAGAGCAGAGCAGCAGGAGTTCAAGAGAAGTGGGTTGGAAAGAATACTAATGCCCTTTGGAGATTTTTGAGGGGAAGAGGGAGAAAGAACATTCTGGTTTTTTTTCTCCTTGCAGCAGAGTGTGAATTTATAATCTTGAATGATTCGTATGGTTTTGAATCCATTCATCCTCAAACCTTGCTTCATCTACTCAGAGCTCAGCATTTGTGTCTCGTAGCTTTCCTGTCAGCTCCTGCATCCTCTCTTGCATATGTCTAGATGCCACTCACCCCAGTTAGAGCAAATGGGTTACAGTCTTATTATGTTCGTGACCAGGGCTGCTAAGATACAAGAGACGTTCCACGCCTCAGAAGCTCTCAGACACAGAATTGTTACTCTTGTTTTGGGAGTGTGACATGTAGGTGACATGTAGGTCTAGTTCAAGTGGACAGACAGTGGCCCTTGCCTTCTTATTCAGGGAGGACCATGTAGGAGAGGGGATCTCAGGAGAGGAAACATTTGAGCAAAGGCACCCAAGACTCTGGAGAGTACCCATGAGGAAAAGGCGACGAGGGTGTGGCTAGTTATCGTGGAGTGTGTCTGCTATGCTCTGGGGCTTTTGGACTTGATCTTATTTATTTACAATTACAGCAAGTAAATGAACGACCTTGTATTCTTCAGATTTCCAAGCAAGCTTAACCTACATATGTCACCAAACTAGAGAAATCAGACTGCTATGGATGCTCTCTGAACTCCACAGAGTGCTGGAGACCAACTCTGAACTCACACAGCCAGCGACAGAGAGGCTATATAAAGAATCCAGTCAAACACTGGGCAAATACTGCTCACACTAAATTTCACACCACCCTGAAACAGAGCGGATCACAGGGGTTTCAAATGGTATTAGGTCTTATCAGGGTACCCTGCTCAAAGGAGACATTCAGTGTATATTACCTATGCATTTATACTATTGACATGTGAGTATATATAAGGAACACATACCCAGAGGTCTAAGAAGAAAGCCTTTCCAACTCATGCGTTCATGTAACCTCTATGTCCTTTCCTGATGAATTTTGATGGCCCCCATTTTCTTTTTATTCTTAGAACTCTCTTAAGCCTTTAAGATATGTGTAGAAACAAGATCCCTCTTGTCTCTTTACTGTGTCCAATCTCTCTTCTTAAGGCAAAAATAAGGAATCTGAAGATTTTAAAGCAAGCCCAGAGAGTTCTAGAATTCCTCCTCGATTCCTGGACTGTGCCTGGAAGCCACCCACTGCAGGGAGCTCAGTGTCCTCAGGGGGGAGCTAATCCTGAGTTTTGATAGTTTCAAAGTTGTGGAAATGACTTCCATCTCCAAGCTGATGTCTATTTACTGTCATTGTCATTCATTTTCAAGGGCTGTAAGCACACAGGTGAATTCTGCAGTGTTCCAGGCCTTGAGACACCAGCCTTGTCCCTAACCATCCACCCACCAGCTGTTTCATCTAGGACTTGATATTTTCTTACACGAATTTCCTCACAAACTACAAAGACCCTCTGTAAAACAGATCTTGAGTTGGTTTGATCTGGCGTTTAAGACAATCAATGGGGAGAATCTTCTCCACATGTCTGACTGCGCACCCAAAGTTGTGTTAATTGGCACTTGGGCACCGTCTGTCATGTCTTGTTGCTTAATTAAATTCACATTTGTTTTGAGTGTTCCTTTTACTCTGCTCTTTTTTTATGCATGAGAGAATAAAAACAAATGAGGAAAACATTTTATAGTTAAATTGGTTTGAGAGAAAGGGTCCCGAATCATAACTCTTTATCGTTCCAATGGCCTTTTATTTCAACGTCTTTGTTTCACAGCAAAACCACAAGTCAGTTGATAGCTAACTCCCCTTTTATTCTGTTCTTTCTCATGGGTGTCTAACCTTGCACATAGATACTAATTTCTACTTAAATGACAAGGGCAACAGTAACAATAGCAGTTCATATGACCCTGCAAGCTGTGTTTTCATGAGCCTTTTATGTCCACATGACCATTCTTTTCTTTTTTTCATTTTTCTGCCTCCAATGTCAGAGCTAAGAGGAAGGTATCCTCACCACACAAAGACAAACACTACCCTCTCTGTATCTATCATTCGTTAAACTGCAGTAGTCATTTTCCCATTGCATGGGTGAGATTTGGATAGAAGTCGATTTTAGTTCTGGATTATACGAACAGCAAAATGTCCGTTTAAATAGGTTTCTATAATTATATTACAAACAAGCCACTTATTCACAAACAAAAGGAAGTCTCACTTTAGAAATTGAAAAAAAATGTAAAGTTGAGGTTTCATGTGGTCAGATAAAGGGCAGAAATTTTTTTTTCTAGAGGTGAGATTGGGAGAGATTAAAGTAAGACTCTGAAGTTAGAAATTAGACAGTACCAAACCCATTAGACAATTAGTAATCTCTTACCAGCATTAACAGCTATCCCATAGGCAACAAGTTTGTGAAACTTAAGGTTTTTGTCTAGTTGCCTTCCCCATGGTCCTCTGCAGCACTGAAGTATCAAAATAAAAAAAAACACAAACAATGAGTCAGGGATAGTGTACACAGCGCTAACATGCCAAGAGACCTAAGGGCTTAAGACTCAGGTTCAACTGACTCCTAGGTCGCTTCAGGTGGGGACACAGGACTTAAAAACTCATAGCATTTGATCACAGCAAAACAAGGGTTTTTTTTAGCTGTTTTACTGAATTTCAGCTCAATCCAAATGTTGTAATTCTTAGATCTCTGGATATAACTCAAAGCTCTTAAATAAACCTTATAGCCACAACAAGTCAACTTGTTAATATAGAACACATAAGTGTTAACTGCCACCCTGTGTTTTGAATGACCTGTACACTATTTCTAATTACATAAAGTTATTCTGCACCTATAACTAATATAATTTTACAATGAGGTATTTCTTCTGATAAAGGTGACCTACAATCTTTTATGCATGTTGTTTTCAGTAACACAGGAAAGCAGGTCATTAGCACTGGTGAAATAAATATAATTGGGAAAAGGTGTTACCACTGATCAGTTAAAAATAACCAGATTTAATCTGGATCCTGAGATTGTGATTATGGTAGGAATTCTGGTGTTTCCTAAGTGATGCCTGTCTCAATGTTTTATTTATCCACCTTCGGTCAGAAATGCTTGTAGTTCAAACCATCATTACCCTTGCATCTGCATGTGAGAAAAGGCTGAGGGATGAGTCCAGTGTCAATGGCAAAAACAAAGACAAATTGGATGCACCAACTTTCAGTTTTAAGTAATGTAAACACAAATTTCTGGGAGTATCATAGGAAAATACATGTTTTCCAATGACACTTGTAAAAGCAGGTGTGTGTGTGTAAGTATGTATGGTTGTGAGCATGCTGTATGCACACTGAGTGTGTGTGTGTAAGTATGTAGGTTGTGAGCATGCTGTATGCACACTGAGTGTGTGTGTGTGTGTGTGTATATATGTATATGCATGCCTATCCCCATGCACACAGTCCAAAGCCAGGTTGACTACCCTGTCACTGTTTGCTTCCTCCCCTTGAGATCAGGACCCTTATTGAGACTGAAGTTAGGTTGGTGGACAGTTAGTCCCTGATGATCCTTCTGTCTCTGGCTCACAACAGTTCTGATGTTACAGACACACACTAATACACCCTGTTTTTTGCTTTTTGTTTTCTGTTTTTTTTTTTACATGGATTCTGGAGATTTGAACTCAGATTCTAAGGTTTGCATGGAAAGCACTTCTGGGCTGTCTCTCCAGTTTCAATTGCACGATGTGAGGAAGAAACAGCAGCTGAGCTTACTTAAAATATTTTAGTACTTACCATACTTGTTCCTCTCACCAGTGAGATGAAGTTTCGACTGACAGGTAACAGAATTAGCATGCAGTTAAAATTTAGGCACACTGCAGATGCTCGGGCCCATGCCAATGTAGACTGTCCATAAATTAGAAACATAAAAGGAGGGATAGTGAAAACACGGAAGCTTGGAAAAATAGAATGCACTTTCTTTTCTGAAACAATAACAGATTGTCATTAAATCTACTTACACCCAGAATAACTCGTGTATAAAAGTAAGCCTCCTCTTCAGCGTACCAACAGAACGTGTCAATAAATAGATAGAAATTTACTGCCAGCCATGAGAACTAGGATGTAACAGAGGGAGACATGGTTAATGCGTCTACCCACCATTCCCCCACTCAGGACCACTTGGGGTTCTTTGTCTTTTCAAAAACAAACTGAGAGTTTGTCAGTACTCATCAGAATTGCTCCATGCATCTATTTCTTGTATTTTTGGTTGTGAACCTAGCCTTTAATGGCTGAGCCATCTCTCCAGCCCCATGCATCTATTTCTTACAGATTAGATTTTAGCAGTGATTACAGGTAAGAAGAAATGACGAATTTTGTTAAAGTTGTTTTGAAATCATGGGGTCAGCTTCATAGTATTTACTGACAAGCATAGAATCTCCACAGGGATTGACCACAGTGAGAAGAGGCAGGACATCTTTAAAGCACTCTAGAAAAACAACAACACCACAGGCTAATTCAAAAACTTCATTTGCTAGAGAGACACACTTCTACATCATGCAAAACAAATTACTTGACTTTAATACTTAAGAATGAACTGAATTGGAAAACAACTTTGCATGATCCTAGAAGGGTAAATTAAATATATTCAATGAATGTTCGCCAACAGGTTTCTAGTCTCATATCTCTGCCATATTTCCAGATCTTTAACTGTTTAAACAATGTCAACCCAAGAATGAGTGACTCTTAAATTTAAGACAGCAGGAGTGATACTCACAACCACCACGACAGACACGCTCTCATTCAAAATCCAACACAGCATCATGACACTTCACTTCCTGCAGACACCTTATTCCTGCCGGTTCACCTGAGCCCATGTGTTGTGTGCCTGATACAGAGTCACCTTCTAGATCAGTCCATCCTTTCATCTTGGAGCACCTGTTGGGAGCAGCTCTCAAGGAATTTCTAATTAGGGACTTAGTGCCAAGAGCACATCACCAAACTGACATGCTTCATAACTTGGGTCAATACAGGTCTCTGTCTAACGAGTCCCTTCTTCAAAGAATTCAGAGGAAAAGAAACTCGTTTCACTAAATTGTCTTTGTTCCCATGCCCTATTCATCTTCGCCATGATTGCAGTAGGATGGTAATAAGTCTATGTGCAAATTTGAGAGATAATCTACTTTATGAAGGCTACTGGTCATAGCAAAGAATTTCCACCCAGCGTTCCCCACATTGCTTAAGTCTTTCCTCCTCTCCCGTTCTTTCAGAAAGCTCTCCACAGAAGGCAGAGAGGGAGAGCTAAGTCAGTAGGCACTGAGTCGTTTTTCAGAATATTGTGAAAAAGATTCTGAACTTTCCAGACAGGAAAACACTTGTAAGCTTAAGAAATGTGATTATAGCCGGTGAGTGGTGCCTTTGTTCCCAGCATTACGGAGGCAGAGGCAGGAGGATCTCTGTGAGTTCGAGGTCAACCTGGTCTACAGCATGAGTTCCAGGATAGACTCCAAAGCTATACAGAGAAATCCTGCTTAAAAAAAAAAACCAAAAAGGGGAAAAAAGTGCAGATGAAAGCATAAAGTACACTTCTTTTTTGTGTGCACATGTGTGAGTGTGAGTACATGACATATGTGTTTGGCATCGATGAGCCAAAGGCGCACCCCCCACCTGGAACACACACACTTTGATGTTCCAAGTGTTGGCATCCTGGCATTATGCTGACCCCGCCTCCTGCCAGCTGGCAGGGTACACACCAGCATTCAGACAGATGCTTAAGACAGCTCAGAGGGCCCTGCGTTGCACTGCTATGTCACACATTGTGTGGCTGCATAAGGACTCTGTACGCATGTGCAAGCTTCCCCTTTGAAGTGTGTGCCTCCGGTCTGTTCGTCCCTTATCCCCTTATCTTCCTCCACCTCCCTTCTTCCTCCTCCTGCTTCCCCTTCCTTCCCTCTCTTCCATCTCTGTTCCCTGGTTAGCCAACACCTGTCCCTCCAATGAACTCCATTTCATTGCTTGCAGCCAATGCTAACGAAAAACAACATCAAGTAAAGCCAGTCAGTTTGTGATTTTTATGTAAGTCTTGGTTATTAAATATGGTGACTGTGATCCTAAGACAAAGCTTTCACAGTGATATAGTTTTCTGGCTAGTTCTGGCCCAGACATTGTCATTGAATTTTTTTTTTTTAGGTAGGGAGCTGGAGAGATGGTCCAACTGTTAAGAGCAGTTGCTGCTCTTCCAGAGGACTCAGGTTCAATTCCCAGTGCCCACATGGTGACTCACAGATATCTGTAACTCCATTTCCTGGGGATCAGACACCCTCTTCTGGATTCTGAGGGCACCAGGCACACAAGTTGTGCACAGACATAAACTCAGGTAAACCACACATACAGATAAAAGTTTTAAAAATCTTTTAAATACTTAAAATGGGAGCTTTGAACCATTTGAAGAATTGCCCTTGTGTATTTTCATAGGCTCAATTTGTTTAGTTGTGCTAAAAGAATTTTTGAAAATTAAAATCCCAATAAGAGTAATCGTCGTGGACTTCTGTTGACTTGTATTTGCCTAGGTAATTAGTTAAGAAGTTTTGAGTGTTTGTTGTTCAATTAACTTATGCATTGACTCTAAGAGAACATCATAAGCATTGCCATACAACTGGGGGAAGAAAGCAAAATGAAGGAAGTCCCTGAAGGAATGATTGAGATGTCTCTAGTTCTCATTTTAGCATTTTTATTTTTAACCATCACCACATGAAATATTAATATGGATTTTTGAGTATCAAAACCCTACTATAGAGATACAAACAACATTTCTACAAATTGGACATGTATAAGTTATAGGAATCCATTTATTTTAACTAGTCAATGACAAGCAAATAAATTGTAATATGTGATTAGGCATGCTGTTTCTTCAATATGCCAGTGAATAATTGAAAACTGAATAGATACTTCTGCTATGTTAATTATTATTCTTTTATTTTATAAATTTTGTGATGTTTTGATATACTGAGGTTTGCTATGGTTTTAATGGGTTCCCCCATACTCTTTGGAACTTTGATTTTCAGTGACATGGAGTTGAAAGGCAAGGCCTACATGAAGGGAGTGACCCAGTCAGTGATGAGAGATGGAATAAATGCCATAAGTCAATGTCATGTTGCTAATAGGACAGATTCAGTTCCATTGCATGCTTTCACTCTGTCTACTTTTCTATTATGGAATGATGAGGCAAGATCCTAGCCTCTAAAATTGTGAGGGAATAAATTTTTACAGCGTAAACATAGGTCTTATATAGACTTGTGGTTGGGGTCAGGGCTTCTCATGTTAGTGTAGTTAGCTAATTCCTGATAGGTATAACTAGCGACTTCTTGATGATCATTAACAGCTTGCCTGTTGATATTTCTCCATGCATAAACCCAGCCATCTCCTCCATTACTCTCATATACCAAAACAACTTCTCTCTACTAAGTCAGCCCAGGGTCTGATGAAACTGTTCAAACTATCAGACCTTAGGCTGGCTTATCTGTTTGAAGGGCCTTACCCTGGGTGAGATCTGCAGGAAAGGCCCTGGTCCACATTTTATCCCTTGCTCCTTTCACCTTCTGAATATGTGCCTTGTCACCTGTTCCCCCATGTGGCCGCAAGTGATAAGGTATACCCGCTTGTATTGGGGGATTGCAAATAAAAATGTATCTCTTTGTCTCTCTTCTTGGATGTGGCAGCAAAACAATTATCAAATCCACGTCTTCTTAGAAAAAGATATATTTTAAAAAGATTTTTTTCTGTGTAGAGATACACAGAAGCATTGGTGTCTGGGGCCACATTTGCTTGAGATCAGCATGTAAGTTAGGATCTTCAGTTGCTACTTCAATAATGAGCAAAGTGATTGCAAAGATGTAACCTCTTAGGGCTTGAGAGATGGTACAGTGGTTAAGGGCACTTGCTATTCTCGTAAAGGGCTCAGGTTCAGTTCCAAGCACCTACATGGTAACCACCTGTAACTCCAGTTTCAGGGGATCTGAAATATCTTCTGGTCTCTTTAGGTTCCTGCCAGGATACGATGTGTAAAAACTCACAGAGTCAAATACATATACAAACAACAGCAACAACCTTAAAAAAAGGCTTAAAAACCTATAAAATCTTCATATGCATTTTAAAGTCAATAATCTTCCATGATTAAATGGTTTGTTATTTTTGAAATGTTTAGGATTTACATATTTTAGAGACCTTATTCAGTTAGACTATGAATAATAATTCAGAAGGAATACATACACCATTTGAAATTATCTTCAGTTTCAGAATCGATGAGTGCAAGAGTTGGAGATGCCCTTCTGTGTTCTTTATACAATATTACAGTTAAGATATATAATAAAATGATGGTTAGAACACAGCTGCCTGCCCTTCAAGCTTGCCATATAAGCTTTGGATATCAAACATTCACTAAAGACCACCAATGAAAGGTTTGGTTGCCTGTGGCACTACAGTCTTCAGGGTATGGGTCTTAGAAGTTTAGTCACCGTAGGCATCCCTTGAAATGGGAATGGGGACCCTAGCCTCTTTAGCCTAATGGTGAGGTGAACTGACTGCTTCTGTCACATGCTTTCTCCGTGATCATCTGCCTTAGCTCACGCTTGAGACAAAATGGCCAATGACCACTGACTGAATCATCTGAAACTGTGATCTCAGCCAAATACTTCGTTATATGTAATGGACATTGTTTTAAATTATAGGCATACCAGAATGGTTAGTGTTAATATTACGAAGGCACTAGTTCATGGTTTGACTCAAGGATTATCTTCATAATCCTTTTTTTTGTAGAATTTATGATTTTAGTTCACTTATATCAAAGGCTAGATCACATTCTATTTATATTTAATTCTAAAGTATATTCAAATTCATTCAGAACTCAACAATTTTGTGGAACTGATAAAAATACATTCTTAAATTTTTCATATTTAAGAATAAGCTGATTACACCAATGAATTAGAATTAAACCTTATACAACATCAGACATCATGCCTTATATCACACTTCAAAGTCCAAGTTGGTGTAACCTATGAAGATTTCTACAGAAATCTACAGTTTTTATGAATGTGACACGAGGGTAATTTTTTTTTTTGGCTTTTACGAGACAGGGTTTCGCTGTATTGTTTTGGAGGCTGTCGGTCCAGCCCGACCTCGAACTCACAGAGTTCCGCCTGCCTCTGCTTCCCGAGTGCTGGGATTAAAGGCGTGTGCCACCACCGCCAGGCCGACATGAGGGTAAATTATTGCTTCCCAGTTAACGTTCTAAAAACATGAAGATGTATATATGGCCCCCGCCCCTCCAAATATGCCTTGGTTTTACTTAAGGGACGACATTTGTAAAAGTCACAGTTTACATCAAGACTGACTTATTTTCAATGAACTTGGAGCAAAATTAACAGGGAGTAAATTGCCCAGAATCTAGAGAATTAGTGTGTACATGCTTAGAACTGAATGTACTTAAATAACTGTTCCCATTGCTAAGAGTTAATACCCTCTTGTTTCTCAGAAGTGTCTCAAAGCAGAGAAGGTAGAATCCCACTTTGATTAATTCTACGGTCTTCCTAATGAAGTGCTCACGCTTCTAGTCCACCACAAAAGATGACTTGGAGTGTTGGAGTATTGCTGTTTTGAAAAGCTCACCAATAACAGCTCTTCCTTGATAGATAGAAGTGGCTTTTGAGGCAGGGTTTCATGCTACACAAGCTGACCTCAAACCCCTTTTCATCCTGCCTCCAACTCCTGTGTGCTGAGTTGAAGAGTACTCGATATTCATTATGCACAGTTTATGCTGTACTCGGCTTC